TAAAACATTCGTTGTTTATCTTGGGCATTTGAAGTACAGATCCTGGGCTATTTGGCTTCATGTTCTCAGTGCCATCTCAGGGCACCATTCCTTGCATGCATTAGCATAGGTAGCCATGGTTGACAGCAAAAGTGACGTGCTTCTGGAGCCCAGAGATGTGGAACTCTGAAGCCAAATGTGTAATTTTAAGACATCTGGTGAATAACCTGAAGTCCCTCTACCAGGAAGCAATGACTTCAGAGAGAACATGAGGAAGGTTTAATAGAGGACATTAACATCAGGTCAGCGGGTGACTGGAGTTATTCAAAGGGTTCTTCCTAAAAGCTAGCAGAGAAAACGAATGACCCTACCACGATCCCAGGCTGAAAGGAAGTACTGTATATGCAGTGCTGAGATAACCACTTTAGGTTTTTACAGAATGACTTACTGGCACATAGAAATCAGAAGCAACATTCTGTTTGGTCTGTACACAGACAGTCAGCTTCTGGATAAGACTTGGATTCTTCCTAGAAGAACTGGCCATATCCCTCTGGGAAGATGCCTCATGGAAGTTAATTGGATACCCTGCCTTCCATCTTTTTTCTCATCCCTGTGCTCAGTGAGCAAACAATGCAGCTCCTGAGGCAGGAAACTATCACTGAGTTGACATCTTTGAGGATGGAATCCAAAATGTCTCAGCACATGGAGGACCAAGAAACTCTCTAGGTATCATGATGGAAAAGGCAACACAGAGATGCCAATCCTCAGAGGACATGGGAGCATGAACAATATAATAACAAATACTTTAAAGAAGCCATCATGACCCATAACCTTGGGAAGAAGTGGAAAAAGAAGAAGCAAGGTACAGATAGCAAGAGCAATAGATAGGACAGTTACCAAGGGAGAATTAGAGAATGATAGTAATAGAGATAGGAGATATATATAACACCTGTATATGGAGAGAGAGAAAAGGGGAGAGAGAGAGAGAGAGAGGGAGAGAGAGAGGGAGAGAGAGAGGGAGAGAGAGAGGGAGAGAGGGAGAGAGAGAGAAGATAAATAGGTACAAAGACAGGAATTCATGTACAGCAATAAGAAATAGAAAAAAAAAAGAAAGGTAGATACAGAGGTGGAGAGATAGAGGGATATAAGTGACAGAGAAAGCAGTGGATAGGCAGAGAAATAAAACTGTGGAGAAGGACCTGGCGCCAATGTATGTGAGGGACTTAGAAATCAATTCCTGATTTCTGAGGGTGGCACAGGGAGTTGTGCGATAGTAGTTTCCTAATTTTAATGCTTTTCGTACATTTAGTGGTCACAGTAATTCCATAAAGAACTTTCCTTCTTAAGTGCTGGTACCCTGAAATACAGTATGGACAAAAGCAGCAAGGTGATGATTTGATTAATAATCTTATCTCTATTTTCAGAACAAGGTGACATCTTTGCAGCCTTTAGAAAATGCTGAGGTATTTTTATCTTTCAGTTTTATGAGTAAATATTTATATTTCTTAAAATTTTTGTGTGAGTACCTTGTTGCTTTCCATGTTCCATGCATGTCCAGGGAGAGGCAGTTCAGTTGATGTTGCTGTTGCTGCCTCAAATGTCCCCAGTGGCTACTGTAGTATCAGGTAGATAAGGTGTCCTGGGTTCATCTTCTACCATGTCCCAGTCTTCCAGTCAGCCATTGCTCAACTCAGCCCTAGTATTTTGCAGAGAAGGGGTTTTCAGATACCTCCATTTAGATGCTCAGAGTGCCCATGATGTCTAAATTGATGATGCATTCTAGATTTTACTGTAGATAGCCTAAAATTAAACTTTTAAAAAAAATCACTTGACTTAAAGTATAGATCTGAAGGATTTTACAAAATTTTTTAGATTGTGAATTTTCTTTTTTTTTAAATCTTGCATTGAAAGCTTGGCTCCTAGCAATATCAACCCAAGATGAATATAAACAATACCAAAATCCTGCTAATAATACTTGACCCATCAGACACAGTTTAAGATTTTCATTCTTCTTTCTTTCTTGAGGTCTTGCTTGCTTGCTTGTTTTTGTCTTCTGGTTTACAAGTAAACTAATGTTTTGAAGTAATTATATGCTGTTCTTCCTTTGGTGGGTAGATAGCTTCTTTTATTTTAGTTTGTATTTTTTAATTTTTGAAATTAATCTTTTTGTTTTGCCAAATACAAAACAAATTTGTATTTGTTCATACAGTGAAAACCTCTGCATATATCCAGTATAAAAAAATTATAAGACAGAAGACTTTTAGAGATTTTTAGAGTCCATTCTACATTGTTTTACATTATTGCTCACCTACACTAACAAAATTGTGATTAGTTATATTTAATATTTTTATTTTGCTTTATTTATTCAAACATGTTATTTAGTTTGATCATAATAAATCTTTCCTGTACTGTATATGGGGAATATTTTATATATATTTACTTACATTTGGTGTTTGTATTTTGGATCTGAGGCATTCAGTCTGATAAATTTTAGTCATTCTTTTCTTTCTCAGCAAATAGATTTCATGTTTTAATTAAAATAATGCACACACCTCAAGATTATAAATATGGAAAATCATACAATTAATGCTTTTAATGTTTTTATTCATGTATTATTTAGGGTGTGTGTCATAGATCCATCTGAAATTTGATTATAACAATTGCTGTAGTAGTAGAAATAATAGTTAAGACTGATGAATGTAGGTTCTCTTTCCCTGATACTTACTGTGCTGAGCACTCTAGGTACATTATCTCATTTAATGTTTACAAATATTGCTTGAGGGTTCAAGTACCACTGAGCTTAGCAAATACGAAAATGAGGTTGTTGGGATGAACTGACTTGCCAAGGTTTTAAAATATGAAGTAGTGGAGAGTCCAACCCAGCACTGTAATCCTAAAATGAGATGTGTTTATTGAACCTGCATTTTCTTACCTACAATGAGGACTAATGTAATTTCACAACTGTGATGATCATTTGCACTTTCTGTAGAATGAATACTCTCTTTATACTCATAGCCCATTGGCTACTGGAATTTTCATGTTTATTAGTTAGTAAGTGGTCTCAAGCACCACTTTAGAGATATTAGTCATACAACCAATATGTAGAAAATATATTTCCTCATTATGTAGTTTTACACCTTTTAGTGACTAGAAGTTTGCATGTTTTTCTCATAAATTCTACCAATTTCTCCTTATAAACACTGTACTTGATGGTCTTTCTCACTTGTAATTTGTAGGAAATTTATGAATGATAAATTAAATGCTTTGAGCTTACAGTCTGATTACACCTAAATGATCTTTGCTAGTGGTGAAATGTTGATACAAGAGTATTTGTTCCCATATGGGGAGCCAGTTACCGGAGGAGAATTTACTGAGTACTAAATCAAGCCTGGCTATTCTGAATGTATAGTTCCATCCTATATTAATGTCTCATGCACCTGTAGACCTTTCTAGATTTTCCACTGTGTCCCTCAGATCTTTCTCCTCCAGCACCAGTGTTGGCTTCTTTTCAGTGCTTAATTTTCATACTCTGGTGGAGGTAGTTTCCTATTTGATATTTTGGTTGCTTGTTTGGACTTTTTTTGACTTTTTTAAAAAATGATTTTGACATTTTGTTTTGTCACATGCTAGTTTGACAGCAATACCCTCCTCCCTCATACTCAAACCATGAGCCTCTGTCTCAGGAAGGAACTTCCTGGCTCCAGGTAGCAATGCATGAGGACCTGTAGGATTATTCTGCACATGGCCTGGGGCTCTGCTCTCTGGCTGTTCCGGTGATAGCCGCTATTCCTACACACATGGTTCCCTGGGGCAGAAGATGAACAGTCCAAATTCCTTATTTGTCTGACTTCCCAGAGGTTGCCATGCAGCAGAAGACACACCACTCCCCCAAGCCAGTATACTTCAGCTTGTTAGTTGCCCAGGTAATAGTTCCTGATACAGTTTCTGTTACTTTTGTTTCTTAGAAAGCCTTTTCACTGGAGGCATATTGTAAGAACCAATGCCCAACTGAGAAGCCATTCTGCTTCTGTACTTCGTGCTTGCTTATCTCATATAAGCCCTAGACCCCAGAGACCAGGGCCTGATATTTTGGGAATGATCCCAGTCAGTGCCCAGTGATGGAAATAAATCTACCTCCAAATTCTGAGTGTCATTTAGGTGTTTCCCCTTTCTGTTGCAACCACCGCAAAGGATGATTTCCTTGACAGAGACCAAAACCATGAATGTCAGGGACAGTCTTCCCCATTCCATTATGGATCTTTTAAACATATATTTTAATTTATTAACAATTGTGAAGGGAGTTTTTTAGTTATACTAGTTTGATCATCTTATTTTCCATCAATGACTCCAAATGAAATGCAGAAGTCAGTACACTCTCAGAGGGTATAGGGCAATGGGGATGGATGTGTTCAGCATATATGCCTTGACACCTCCCCAAATATGAAATTATAGGGAGAGGCAGAGCAATGCGAGTAATGGAGAGGGTTAAAATGATCAAAATATGTTAGATGCCTGTATGAAACTGTCAAATTGAAGTCTATTAATGTGTATAAACAGTGTACTATGATAAAAAGAAAGATGTAAATAAAATACGAGTTGCCTAGGTACATTTGCATTTTTGTATAAACTTTAACTATATACAAATATTTCTTGGAACTGAATACTTTATATGTTTAAACTAACTCTTGCTAGCCTACCTGAAGATCATCTTGACTTGAGGATTAAGCAAACTTCAAAGTGATCTGTGCACGTGCGCACACATCAGTTTCACTTTGCGCAGTGCCTCATGCATCAACATCACTGATCCTAGTTTCTTTTAATAAGATGCAGACAATGATTATCAGATCTGTGGTTGGTGACTTTATTCACAGATATAACTGTAGGTCAGGATAATAAAGAAGAATTTTCACCTCAGAAGAACATGGCAGCAGCATTAACACAGGAATCTACACTGTAATGAAGTCTTTATTCTTACAAGGGACAGGTGACTGTGATTCAGACTCTGCCTCCCACCACGTTCACACCCAGCCAGCCTCACTACAGAGCTCTCAGGGCCCTGGCTTCTCTTCCTCTGGTGAGGATCTGCTCCCGGAGGCCACAGGGGGGCGCTGCAGGATCGCACAGAGGCAGAGAGGCAGGGTCTGCTCCCAGGCACCGCCTCTTCTGGTCTCCAACTGGGCTGTCTTCTCAGATAGTTCCTCAGCTACTGCTCCTACCTGTCGCTCAGTCAGGAAGACCAGAGCCAGCTCACTCATGTGGAGTAGGACTTGTGTTTGTAGAGGGCTTCCTACTCTTCTCATCTGGTCTCTGTCCTTGTAAGGCCCAGGAGAAACAGCAATGCTGTGGGCTGTGGCTCTGCTTCTAGCTTTTCCGCCTCCAGGTAAGTGGGTGACACAGTTGCTTTTGAGGTATTTTTCCCCCAGCCCTGGAAAAGAATGCCATGAAGTCTTTTTCGTTATTTTGTGATGTTTCCACAGCAGGCACTCAAACTTCTTCCAACATGGAACAGGGAATGGTCTCAATCACCAAGAAACCTGGGTCACATGTGGTATTCACTTGTGATGTGCCTGCAGTAAGCAGCTACATCCACTGGTACCGATTTCAGGAGGGGCAGACCCCACAACGCCTTCTCTATTATGACATCTCCAATTCCAAGTCTGTTCTGGATTCAGGACTCAAACCAGGGAAATGCAATGCTTATCAAACTGCAGAGAAGATCAATAAATTTGTAGTACGGAATCTGCAAGAAAGTGACTCTGGGGTGTATTACTGTGCAGTCTGGGACACGCACAGTGCTTCACATCTGCTTTCTGCTGCACTGAAAAGTTTGCTTGCGGCTGCGCCTGGTGCACTGGATAGATCAGCCCCCAGCTCACTTCCTGCCTTAATATCCACTATGTTGTGATCTACTTCACTTGACCAGGGCCCTGAGTGTTTCATTTGTATATTCCTTTGCCAGAAGCACAGTGTTTTTGAAGAGCTTCTTAATAATTCTAATAAGGGTTGAAATTTTTAGAAACAGCACAAGTCAGTAGTGTTACAGAGGTATAAATTGAAAGTAAATCTTTTGTATCCACATACTGTCATGAAGAGCTATAAGGGAATATCCTGTTTTTGGTCTTCTAGGCTTGTCTACATCGTTAATAATCTTCATCATCCAAACACTTGCCTTGTTCCAAAAGTTACAGCCTATGCCTAGGCTCTGTCTCAGATCCCAAGTTGCCCAGGAGCCTGCTGTCTCAGTCAGAAGCAAAACGTGGTACCCAGGGATCCCAAGACAAGGTTCCACCATCAGCTACCAGATGTTCACTCAGAATCTGCCTGATCCACATCTGCTACTCCAACCTCTGCATGGCCCCACCAAGGGGCTGAGTCCTGGGTCCTCCGGAGGGGTCCCCCCTAGAGATCAGGCTGGCCCCTCATGAAAACCTTTTGTCTCTTCTATAAATCATAAAAGTCTGGATTTAAATCCTCCAAACCCCTCTCCAGGCCTGAGAGTACATGACCTCTTGCCTATGGACTGGTTAGCCCTAACTTTGTTTTAGAATTTCCCCTAACTTTGTTTTAAACATTCCATACGTAGACTAAAACAACCCATGGCATCTTTGGGAGATCAGAGACACCATCAAAGGGAGAGAAGTAGATAAGAAGAGAGAAGATATCACCATAACAAGTGTGTGGCACTAGAAATGGGTAGATATTATTAAAATGTATGGAAGGTGGTCACCATCAGTTGTGAAATTTCCAGTGAGGAATCACTCAATAATAAAACCATAACAATTCGGAAAAACACTTGTGAATTCTGATGACACAACATACCATTCATTTTCATAACAAATTCAGTGGTTATTGGTTTTTTCTCCTAAAGTAATACTTTCTTATTGGTGAGCATCCAATAAGTAGAGGAAAATAGGCAAAAAATTCACATACCTTCCTATCAATCCGTTGCTCTGTCTATTCAGATGATTTTTCAATTCAGGACTGCACTCTACAGACATTGGTAAAGATGTCACTTCCTAAAGAGTGTAATGCTGTAGTTCAATAGTCTTTTGCTAAGCAATTCCATTTGGTTTTTCTGCAACTAAACCTGGAAAGTTCCCACTGAATTACATTCTCAGTCTTTACAAATGTATATTTTTAAATTTTAAGGGGTCTTGTAATTCTCTAGTTAGTCAGTCTAGGGCTCCAAATTTGCATCTTTCTGCCTCAGCCTCTCAAGAGTGCTGAGCTCACTGGTGTGTCCCACTGTGCCCACTCATATTAAGGCTTCTTGTGTGCTCTGGGTTGCCCACTTTTCTGGCTCCTCAGGACCTGGACTGGTAGAGTGCCTTGCTGCTCTACACAAGATGCCAGGATAGTTCTCATACCCGACTGTGTGCACTTGGATTTCAGCCTGAGAAGGAGTTTGGTGTGGTGGGGCTTGGTGTTGGCACAGCCCCCTGTTAGCAGACAAGGGACTTGTGGAATCCACAGACTTCTCCCCTCCCCACACAAAGGGACTCCACAGGTCTAGCATCTACCACGGGTCCAGAGCAGAAGGTCATGGCAGGTTTAACCTCTGTCATGCAGGTCTGGTGGCACTGAGACCAGTGATGGTGCTCACCTGGAAAAGACCATAGGGAAAACAAAATATATGTCAGACTGACAAGTAGACCAGCTCTCTCTTGAAATCTAGTAAATAATCTGCATAAAATAGCAGTAATAATAAAGATCTTCCAAAAGATTCTAAGAACAAGTAAGAAAACAAAGGGTGTAACTTTTACTCTGGCAAAAGGACTGATGGTTGTGATATCACATAAATCAGGGTAAAGCCGGGTGTTTGATGACCAACCTGAAACTTCAGAAATGACTAATCTGGGAGAAGGGTCTGAGATGCCTTCGCTCTGTGGACTCCCCAGGAGCCCCGGCCCCATCGTGTCCTGGCACCTGCTGAGCTTCCCTCAGCTGAAGGTCTCCTCAGCTTTCTTCCTGGGCACTCAGCAGGGCAGAAGGGACTTTAAGATTTCACATATTCACGAGGTCTTCACTCGGGATGAACATTTGTTCCCCTATTGATAAAATTGGCTGAAGGATTTTTTCCCAAAAACATGGCTTTAGTCTTGGTAGTTTTGTCCCAGTTAATCTTGGGAGATACAGCATGTCCACCGGCTGCACCTGAGGCCCAGCAGGGCTTCTGGTAGGATGAGGTAGCTTCAGGTTGGTAAGGGAGGGATCAGAGGTGTTTTATGGAATGTAATTGCTTATTATCTTGGCTCCAGTGAGCTCGTAGGCTCCCAGGACAGGACTTGTGTCTAGGACAAAAAAAGGCTTGATCCATGCACAGACTTTGAGCAACTTGTGCTTGCAGAATTCTGAGGGGAAAAAAAATCCAAAAGTCATTCATGAGAGGATCAGAGAGTTTAAAGGAAAGACAACATCTGCTTAATGAATCTACAGAGCAAACAGACGTAATGTCCCTCACCATCACAGACACAATAATTTTATGTTTATTTTGTCATTGGTAGCTGGATAATTCACAACTTCCTAGGAATGCTGAAACAAATGTTACAAGAAAAACTGCAAAATTCTTTTTCCATCTACTTTCAAACAAGGTGGAAATGCATGGGAAAAATCTGACTACAGAAATTTTTCTCCTACTGACACCTTTGCTCATGTGGACGTCTTTCCACATAGCAGCTGTGTACACAGGAAACCTAATAAAGACCCTAACAGAAGTGTAGCACATTGTAATGAATATACTTGGTGGTTCTTTTGTTTGATGCAGATATAGATCACTAGTTGTAAGGTGCAGCTCCTTTGATATCAGTGGTCATGAGCTTTAAGTGCCAATGGTTCTCAGGCCCCCAGGGTGCCGGCTCAAGGCTTTGAGTGACACCGCCTCTCAGTGCCCAGTGCTGCAGCTCTCACTGTTACAACACAAGCTCTGAGTGTTTTGTAGTGATCACATTCTATGCTATCTATGATGGGTAGGTAGCGTCTTTTCTTTTAGTTTGTATTTTTTAATTTTTGAAACTTTTTAAAATTTTTCAAATGGTTTTCTCTATTAGTTTGTATCTGTTTATATCATGGAAACCTCTACATATATGCAAAGATAAAATTATAAGATAGGATGCTTGTACAGTTTTTTACTCCATTCTTCATTATTTCCCATTTATATTAAATAAATTGCAATTAGCTATACGTAACATTTTTACTTTGCTTCATTTATTCAAAACATGTTATTCAATTGAATACATCTATCCACCACCTCATATGCAGAATATATTATACATATTTATTTAAATTTGGTATTAGTAATTTGTGATCTGAAGCATTCAGTTTATACATTTTCATTATTCTTTTATTTTCTGGCAACTAGATTCCACGCTTTAATTAAAATAATCCACACACTACCTCAAAATTATAAATACAGAATTTCCTATGCTCTCATGCTTTTATTTATTTATTATTTGGGGTGTGTGCCATGGATCCATTTGAAATTTGTGTATAACAATTACTGTACTAGTAGAAATAATAATGTAGGTTGATAAATATAGTTTCTCTTTCCCTGGTAGTCATGGTGCTGAGCACTCTAAGTATATTATCTCATTTAATCTTTTTTTTTTTTTTTTTTGGTTTTTCTCTGGTACCGGGAACTGAACTCACGACCTTGCGCTTGCCAGGCAGGCGCTTTTGCCACTGAGCTAAATCCCCAGCCCCTTCATTTAATCTTTACAAACAACACTTAAGGGTTCAAGTACCACTGAGCTTAGCAGATGAGAAATTGAGGTTGATGGCATGAACTGACTTTGCCAAGGTCGTAGAATACGAAGTGGTGGAGAGTCTAACCCAGTACTGTGATCTTAAAATGAGATGTCTTCATTCAACTTGGATTTTCTTACCTACAATGAGGGTTAATGTAATTTCACCAACGTGATGGTCATTTATATTCCTGTGGAATGAATACCTCTTTATACTCATAGCCCATTTTCTATTGAAATATTCATTTTTATTAATTTGTAAGTTGTCACAAAAACCATTTTAGAGAAATTAACCATACAGCCAATATGCAGGAAAGATATTTCCTCATTATTGAGATTTTGAAGCTTTTACTGACTAGAAATTTGCATGTCTTCTTCATAACATCTACTAATTTTTCCTAATAAACACTGTACTTGATGGTCTATCTCACCTGTAATTTGTATGCAGTTTATGAATGATAAATTTGAATGCTTTGTGCTTACCGTTTGATTACACCTCCATGCTATTTGCAAGTGGTGAAGTGTTGATTCAAGAGTATTTGCTCCCATGTAGTGAGCCAGTTGCAGAGGAGAATTTACTGAGCGCTTGATCAAGCCTGGCTGCTCTGAATGTGCAGCTTCACCATCTTAAACTCTCCTGCCCCTGTGCACCTTTCTGGATTTTTCCACTGTGTCCCTCAGATCTTTCTCCTCCAGCACCAGTGTTGGCTTCTTCAGGGCTTGGCCTTCATACTCTGGTGGACGTAGCCTCTTATTTGACATTTTGATTGTTTTTTGGGGCCTTTTTTGACATTTTGTTTAAATGTTTTTGACATTTTGTTTCATCACATGCTAGTTTGACAGCATTATTCTCCTCCCTCATTTTCAAACCATGATATTGTGTCCCAGGAAGGACCTTCCTGGCTCCAGGATGCAGTGCATGAGGACCTGTGAGATCATTGTGAACATGGCCTGGGACTCTGCTCTCTGGCTGCTCCTGAGGTAGCCTATACTGCTGCACACATGGCTCCTTGGGCAGAGGATGAACAGTTCAAATTCCTTATCTGTCTGAGTTCACAGAGGTCATTATGTAGCAGAAGATGTTCCTCACACCCCAAGCCAGTATACTTCAGTTTGTTAGCTAGCCAGGTAATAGTTCCTCATACAGTTTCTGTTACTTATTTTT